CACAAATCTTTTTACGCACACACAAATCTGTTTAGCACACACAAATATTATTGAAACAATAATAGCTCCATAGAAAAGGATGTATTTATCTAAAGAGCAACACTTTGATTTTGAGGATACTTGTATATATATATATATATATCTATATATATATATAGATATATATCTATATATATATATTGTGTGGGGGGAAAAAATCGATTCTGTTCAGTATCGTGATATTTTATGCAAGTAATTATATCAATATTGTATTTTTTGGTTGATGTGGATGGGACAGTGTTTAATAACGAACAGCAGTAACTGTAAATTCACCAGATTGTAGCTCATTTCCATCTTCCCAACAGTCACACCAGGGGCAAAGCCACATGGGTAATTGGGGTGGCAATTGACACCCCAGACAAAGTCCTTGCCACCCCCAGTGTCCCCCACTGAAAGTACTGCGACAGGTGTTGTTCTCACTGGTTAAGATAGTGCAGTTGTCTCAAGCCTGCTCCTAGCTAAACACAGCGCATCAGCGGCACATCACTGACATCAGATCATTGAGGAGCGTAATTTGTTGGTACAAAGCCTTTGCCTTTGACGGTTTAATAAACTAAGCAAATAATTATAATAATGCAAATGTAAAGAAGATGTTTTAATTACATACAACCAGTGTTGAACAGTTCACGTTCAAAGTTCACATTTTTAATTCTGAACTAGTTCAAAGTTCAGTTCATTTTACTTTTTTGGTGAAATAGTCAAATAAATACTTTTTATCACACTACGAGCTATATATGTATATATAGATATATATATATATATATATATATATATATATTTATATTATATATATATTATATATATTTATATATATATATTATATTATATATATTATATATATATATATATATATTATATCTCCTGTACACCCACAGGAGGAGAGCCTTTTGACTACAAAACAGACCAGATTTATATGGTTTTCAATGGGAGCAAAACAGTTGTCCCATCTCTGCTCATAAACTACAGACAGTAATGCGCTGCAGTGCGTGTGTCTATACTTTATGTCAAATGTAAACGGTGTAATCTTTGTCGCTAACTCACCCTGTGTTTTCATCACGACTCGGGCACATGTGAAAAGCACCAGCTCACAGCGCCGCACCTCAACACGGAGTCGGGGTGCGTTCACAGACGGTGGAAACCGTGGGGATTTTTAGTTTGCGGCGGAAAAAGTGCGAGAATACAGGAGGGAGGAACTTTCTCTTGTTGCGTTTCAAAAGAGAAAACAGATTCCAACGTTCATAGTGATGTCTGCCGTTCATGACACATAAACTGAACTAATTCAGGTTCAAGTTCTTTTTTTAAAATGTGTTGCGTTCAGTTCAACGTTCACGGAAAAATGAACGTGTTCAATGAACGCGTTCTTTTGAACTCGTTCACGCACAACACTGCATACAACATAATCTTTTATGTAATTAACAGTTAACACAAAAATAATAGTTTCTCAGCAAAAGCCAATACATAGTATTAAAGAGGGCTATTGTTATTCGCCGGTTTCAAATTATTATTTATTTTTCCCGCCAAAAGGATAATTTTTTTACCCTCAGACATGCACAAATGTTGGCACATGGGGGATCTAAAACAACGGGTTCTGAAAAAACTGAACGTCTAGAAATTGTCCAACACACACCATCTCTATATCGCCTGTAAACTTTTCCGATCCTCACCAAAGTTGCACAGTCAAATCTTTACATCTGTATGAACAAAATAGCAAGTACATTGCATGCTGCTTATCAAACAAAGTCAGATTTTCAAGTGTTCAGAGACTTGTGAGAGACTTTGAACATTTGAACTTGGACTAAAGCTGGAGAACGTCTGCAAATGCAACGAGTGTCGACTGCCTCTCCTCTGCAGAGGAGGCTCTTGTCATGTGGCTGTGTACACACTGGCAGAGCGAGGTGTGATGCTCTCCCTGTGTGGTCTATGGAGAAGTGTATCGGACAGTACGGGCCAAAGAACTGATGTGGAGCAACACAAATCCCATGTATGCGTTTGTTTTCATGGTGTCTCTGAACTGGTGTGGTCAGACGCAAGACATTTTGAGAGAAAAAAATAACCGGACTGTCCAGAATCACTGTTAAACGTGCCAATCCTCCTCCTAATGTTTAGATACAAGAGCTGTGTGTGTGGAGCTGATCTAGTGACAGGGACCGCTAGCAAAAACGTGTTTCTCATGTGTTTTGACTGGGAGCCGCGTCACTGCGTTAGTAAAAATACGGCTTTTAATTTGAGCGTGACTTGGTACGCAACGCTACGCTCCACTACATTCGTCTCCTCACGCGATGTGTACGGTCCTCACGAATAACATGAGCGTATTTCAAATCATAACGACACGCTGCTACGCAAGTCTCTACGCTGCACGTGACGACTGCGGTGTGTACGAGGCATAAGATAACTGGTGATCCGAGCTCCACTACTGACCGCTCAGTTTGTGGTCTTTTATTGAATTCATATTTCTCTGACCTGCAGCGTTCTCTCTGTAATGAATCACTTTGTCCCCACAGCTGCTGCAGCTGCGGCTAATGGACAAAATCTGCTTCGCCGTCTGTTTCTTGGTGCAGGTGCAATCAGGAAAAGCAGGTAACAGTGTGTAAAGCTATTATTAACATTAGCAGCTCAAGTTGTGCCAGTCTGTAGTAAACATCACTAAACTATAGGGGGAGCTATAAAGTCAATAGCTCTACAAGTGAAAGGAGCAGACATACTGTACATGTTTGTACCTAAAGCGTCAATGCACAAACACAATTACATGTATCTTTTTGATTAGGAAACAAAATACAGTAAGTCTCCTTTAAGAGCCAAGCTAATAAACCTCTTATTTCAATGGTCACTCGGCATTCAACCACATTTATGAACTTATGAACTTATATTAACATTTATGGACATTGGTCATCTGCCCCTTATGGACCAATGTCTCTATGTGTTTGTTAATATTGCAACTTTTTGATTCTCTGATCTGTGTTGGCAAATTGACAGCTGTGTAAAGTCCTCCTGGAGAGATACTGTTGTAATTTAGGGCAATTTACAAATAACTGGATTTGAATTGTGTTACATGTTTCAGAAAAAAAAGACCAACTGTTATTTTTTGCCCTATCTTCAGAGACGTCATAACTAACTCAATTTTTACCACGAATAACGTCCAAATGCCCAAAATGCCAATGTTCAAATCCAGGTCGAAAACAGTTCAGTTCTGCTGCGCTACACAATTTTATAATTTTAATTCCTTGTGTGATTGTTTCTATTTGGTTTAGTTTAGTTGTTCAGCACTTTGAGTTTCACTAGTGTATGGACTGTGCTATACAAATAAACTTGCCTAAAGAGTGACAAGGCTGAGTGTGTGCAGAGTCTGGAACATAATTTCCCGCATGAAAAGCTTTGACTAGAGCAGTGATTAGAGGCTGGACTATTCTTACACAGGTCATCCTCATTAAACCTGGCACAACACTTCATTATGTATGTTGTATAATAATGGTATTTGTGTATTTCTGTCACATGGTACATAGTGTCACATGGTACATAGTGTCACATGGTACATTGTGTGACATGCTACATAGTGTCACATGGTACATAGTGTCACATGGTACATAGTGTCGCATGCTACATAGTGTCACATGGAACATAGTGTCACATGGTACATAGTGTCCCATGGTACATAGTGTCACATGGTACATAGTGTCACATGGTACATTGTGTGACATGCTACATAGTGTCACATGGTACATAGTGTTGCATGCTACATAGTGTGACATGGTACATAGTGTCACATGGTACATAGTGTCACATGGTACATTGTGTGACATGCTACATAGTGTCACATGGTACATAGTGTCACATGGTACATAGTGTTGCATGCTACATAGTGTCACATGGTACATAGTGTCACATGGTACATTGTGTGACATGCTACATAGTGTCACATGGTACATAGTGTTGCATGCTACATAGTGTGACATGGTACATAGTGTCACATGGTACATAGTGTCACATGGTACATTGTGTCACATGGTACATTGTGTGACATGCTACATAGTGTCACATGGTACATAGTGTCACATGGAACATAGTGTCACATGGAACATAGTGTCACATGGTACATAGTGTCACATGGTACATAGTGTCACATGGTACATTGTGTGACATGCTACATAGTGTCACATGGTACATAGTGTTGCATGCTACATAGTGTGACATGGTACATAGTGTCACATGGTACATAGTGTCACATGGTACATTGTGTGACATGCTACATAGTGTCACATGGTACATAGTGTCACATGGTACATAGTGTTGCATGCTACATAGTGTCACATGGTACATAGTGTCACATGGTACATAGTGTCACATGGTACATTGTGTGACATGCTACATAGTGTCACATGGTACATAGTGTCACATGGTACATAGTGTGACATGCTACATAGTATCACATGGTACATAGTGTCGCATGGTACATAGTGTCACATGGTACATAGTGTCGCATGGTACATAGTGTCACATGGTCACATGGTACATAATGTAACATGGTACATAGTGTCACATGGTATATAGTGTCACATGGTACATAGTGTGACATGGTACATAGTGTGACATGGTACATAGTGTCACATGGTACATAGTGTCGCATGCTACATAGTGTGACATGGTACATAGTGTCACATGGTACATAGTGTCACATGGTACATTGTGTGACATGCTACATAGTGTCACATGCTACATAGTGTCACATGGTACATAGTGTCACATGGTACATAGTGTGACATGCTACATAGTGTCGCATGGTACATAGTGTCACATGGTACATAGTGTCACATGGTACATAGTGTCGCATGGTACATAGTGTCACATGGTCACATGGTACATAATGTAACATGGTACATAGTGTCACATGGTATATAGTGTCACATGGTACATAGTGTGACATGGTACATAGTGTGACATGGTACATAGTGTCACATGGTACTCACTTGCTGCAGGTCCACTCCCTGTGCCACTGAGAAGAGCGGGTGAGAGCCAAAGTCTGACGCCTCGAACACCTTCAGCGGCACAGGGAGAGAGACACTACAGTTAGACACACAACTGCTACACACAGAAAGAGAGACACTACAGTTAGACACACAACTGCTACACACAGAAAGAGAGACACTACAGTTAGACACACAACTGCTACACACAGAGAGAGAGACACTACAGTTAGACACACAACTGCTACACACAGGGAGAGAGACACAACAGTAAGACACACACTGCTATACAACTGCTACACACTGCAACATCTACACACATGTGTCAAACCCATGGCCCGTGGGTCAAATGCGGCCCATGGAACTATGTTTAGTGGCTCCCAAACAATCATGTAATAATCAAATATATAAAGAAACATGAAATGAAACTATCTACAGTCACTGCCCTTGCCTCGTTGCTCCAGTTTTGGTTCAATCCAAACAAACAGTCACTGAAAAATAAATCCAAACTTATAATATCAAAGTTCCCTTCAGAATGTAAAATACAAGTTTAGAATGTATGTTGTAACTTTCCACAAAGAAAACCAAATTTTGTTGACCCCCGACTGGCTCTTTCTTTCTAAATTTGGCCCCTGAACAGGACGGGGAAATAGAAAAAAGTCTCCATTTGCTCATGCACTAATAATAATACTAATACTATTTACTATGGAATGACTCATCGGAGCTAAACCAATGGGTTCAATGTGTGTGTGTGTGTGTGTGTCAGTGCGTGTGTAGAAGCAGTGAGTCAGTGATTTTTGACACCACAAGCTCAGAGGACTCAGACTCTGGAGTATAACCGACCTGTGTGTGGACAATAGACAATAAGGACAGACTTGTGTAACTTAAATGTCCTTTACCTCTAAAATAAAACAAAAGATAAATGATTTGATGCTTTACATTATTTCTATTTCTATTTAGAATCTTCTAGTTTGTTTTTAATGTGTGTAAAGAGCCTTGTGTGACCTTGGTCTATGAAACGCGCTTTGATTACTGACTGATTACCGCATTTGTTATGTAGGAGGCAAAACGATCTGTCGCTTTGATCTCTACAAAATTTTCCTCAAAACATCAAACACCTTTCTACGTCTCATGGAACTGTTCCATTTTATTATTCTAATAAACCATTAATAATATTATTTTGACTTTAAGAAGTGCAATAACTTCCCCAGTCTAATTCACCATCCAAACTACTGGATATATAGTCTGCTGATGAAACTAAACTGTCTTAAAAAACCTGATGATTAAAAAAACCAACCGGAACAAAACCATAGAAAGTGTGTTTTCCTCTGGACGGACTGATGCCAATCTCAATATGAACATTATGGACAGGCGAGCGGGATGTGGACACTCAAAATGCAAACCACAGCATTTAGTATTTGATCCACTCTGCACCTGATTCCTCTGAGTCTGCATCTATCATCACTGTGGCCGTTATTTCCATTTAGAGTCTTTCTTAGTCAGTGATTAACCTAAACATTCATCTCTCTGAGCCCCAATGATCTTTATTGTGCATCCATCAACTCCAAGCGATGGTGTTTGAAAAGCAATCCTTTGCCTTCTCCAGTTTAGTTTGATTGATAAAGACGTTTTCGGAGTGAAAAACCAGTCTGTGTGGAGAAGGTGGTGGTGCTGCATAGAAACGCCTCAATCATAAAGTGAGGATTGTAACTTTAAAGACCTTATGCAGGGTTTAAAAAAAAAAAAATTGTGGATATCAAAATTGCATGACAGTTAATCAATTAATGTCGATTTGAAATAGATTCCGGCAAAAGAAATCCTATATTTTATAAAAATATGTTTTTAATGAATTTAAGTTGTCTATACTCTCACCTGTGTGTGACGTCATAGCGGGTAACGCCCATACATTGAAAGCCATTGATCTATGCCACAGATACTCGCCTATCCTCTCTTCTCTCCACTGATGTCCGACACAATACTGCACTCTACAGGTGTCAATTGCTCATTACAAATATATTGCCGTTTTGAGAGTGAAAATGTGACTGAGGTGCGAATTGAACCACAGTTGCAGGTATGCTAGCGCTGAGACATAACCACTGGACTATCTCAGCACCAATGTGCAGTAGTTTACAGTAGTCTCATATTCGCTGTGTAGACTGTCTTGTCATCTTGAATATCCGTGAAGAAAGACCAAATACCAAATTGTAAACAACTTACAGCGTTGAAACGTACCCGCTCTGACGTCACCAAGGGAGAAGATTTTTTTTGTTTCTAAGGGGCGTTGCTATGGTCTTTTCTTGATTTGGGGGGATCAGACAAAAAAACAAAAAAAAATTGATTTTGAAACCTTTAATAGTTCTCTTCTAATATAAAATTGTAATAAAACTGTTTCTAAATCAATCAAACCCTGCATAACTTCATTGCTTGTATGTAGATTTTATACAGATTTTTTTGTTGTGATATCTTTGCCTTTTTACTCTTAAGCGTGTTTGCATCTCGAGCCAAAGCAAATTTCTAGAGTCCGTGAAATTTTGTTGGCAATACAAATGATTCTGATTTGGGACGGATTGGAATGAGACATCAGACGGTGAGGCGTTTATGAGCGCAGGGAAAAGCCAAACTGGTATTGAAGAGTCTGTTTTTGGACTCAATCTTTTAGTTCAAAACCTGCGAAACTTCACAATATCCTGGTTATTTTTTAGAGGGCTGTGTAAACTAAGTAAGTAAGTGAGTAATCTGTATTTATGTACCGCCTTTCACAAACCAGTCACAAAGCAGTTTACAATTGTGGGCATTTGTCTCTCATTCCACACAGGGAGCAAAGTCGCATGCCAGACCTATTGTACATTAATTTAGTGGTAGGGGAAACCGGAGCACCCGAAGGAAACCGGAGCCAATTCAGAAAGACCCTGTTCCAACCGGGATTCGAACCCAGGACCTTCTTGCTGAGAAGCGAGAGTGCTATCTACTCAGCCACCGTTCCACCCTCAATGGTTTGTTATACTAAAGCTAGATATTTTATACTTGCTTCTTTATTTTTCAGTTAAGAGTTTTTTTTTTTCTTGTGCTCCTCATTCCCACTGTTCTGTAACTGGCGATGCAACACTGACATTTCCAACACTGAGGGATGAATAAAAGATCTCATCTGCTTAATCTGAATCTAATCTACATTTGCCGACCGTATTTTTATAGCAAAATATGATTTAAAGTTTGTGTCATGAGGGATAAGAAAAGGAACGATCAAAACTCCTCAGACCTGTTTGATAATCCACTGAATTCGTTGCGGTTTTATTTGTATTTATTAATTTTCATTTGGTTTCTTCGAGTCACGGGGACAGATACAGAAACAAGTACTAAGTATTAGTACTACTAATACATCATGGTGCTAACAGCTAAAGCTAATTCACGGCGCTAACAGCTAAAGCTAATTCACGGTGGTAACAGCTAAAGCTAATTCATGGTGTAACAGCTAAAGCTAATCCACAATGCTAACAGCTAAAGCTAATTCACAATGCTAACAGCTAAAGCTAATTTATGGTGCTAACAGCTAAAGCTAATTTATGGTTTAACAGCTAAAGCTAATTCACGGTGGTAACAGCTAAAGCTAATTCACGGTGCTAACAGCTAAAGCTAATTCACAATGCTAACAGCTAAAGCTAATTCACAATGCTAACAGCTAAAGCTAATTCACGGTGGTAACAGCTAAAGCTAATTCACGGCGCTAACAGCTAAAGCTAATTCACGGTGGTAACAGCTAAAGCTAATTCACGGTGGTAACAGCTAAAGCTAATTCACAATGCTAACAGCTAAAGCTAATTCACAATGCTAACAGCTAAAGCTAATTTATGGTGCTAACAGCTAAAGCTAATTTATGGTTTAACAGCTAAAGCTAATTCACGGTGGTAACAGCTAAAGCTAATTCACGGTGCTAACAGCTAAAGCTAATTCACAATGCTAACAGCTAAAGCTAATTCACAATGCTAACAGCTAAAGCTAATTCACGGTGGTAACAGCTAAAGCTAATTCACGGCGCTAACAGCTAAAGCTAATTCACGGTGGTAACAGCTAAAGCTAATTCACGGTGGTAACAGCTAAAGCTAATTTTACGGCGCTAACAGCTAAAGCTAATTCACAATGCTAACAGCTAAAGCTAATTCACGGTGGTAACAGCTAAAGCTAATTCACGGCTTTGTACTAATCTTCGTAATTATATGGTTCATGTTTGTTCTCTTACCTGATTTCCAGCCAGCAGCACGGTTCCTGGAATGGGGCTCGGTCGATATGGAATTGTAGCTCCCTTTGGCGGAGACTGTGTAGAAAACAGAATAAAAACAGAAAAAAAAATTAGTCAAAAAGAGTGTGAAGGAGAGGATTTGACGCCCCTTCAGGTCTGCGTCCGCCCTGAAGAGACACACATTTTATTGATACTCATTTCCCGACAATACCTGCGTTCTTTACACTATCCCTCACATGTCTGTCTCGATCACTCCACAATAAAAAATTTTCTCAGCAGCAAAGCGATGTGTTGATTGTGACGTTGTTTTAAGAGTTCTCCCAGTGCTTTTTTTTAAAAACATTAAGTCAATTGTGAGTTTTGTTTGGAAGCTGTTTTTCTGATGATTTGCTGCTGGGATCCTGCCGATTACTAATGCGCCCCTGATGAGAGAAGACATTACTTCTACACTAATGGTTTTTTTTGCTTCAAACTAAGATCATTTGGTGTCACTTTGTCCAACTGCGAGGGCGGCGTGAAACCGGAAACAGATGAAATGAGGAAGATACTGCAGCGGCGTACCGTCCCTGCATGCAGAGAGATGATCAAAGGCATCTAGGGACTTCAGAAAACAAGAGTAGGAGATTTAACCAGGAGTTTTGCCTTTTACGAGAATACAGAGAGGTTTTTCATAAGGTCTCCTCTCATTGCTTTTCTCTCATCAAGGCCATGAATACCAATACGCATCCAGGTCTTTGATTTCTCCACTTCCTTCTCTCTTAGTAAAAATATCATGCATTTAATTTTGACCATTGAAAGGGATAATGACACTGTTTACTTTGTTGTTTCATGTTTTAGAAATTGAAATCACGGAAGTATAACAAATGCTTATCACCAGTAACTCCTTTCTAAATTCAATTCAAGAGACCAGATAGAGACCAGAGAGAGACCAGACAGAGAGCGTAGAGAGAGCAGAGAGAGCGAGACCAAGAGAGACCAGAGAGAAACCAAAGAGAGATCAGAGATAGACCAGAGAGACACCTGAGAGACCAGAGAGAGACCAGAGACAGATCAGAGAGAGACAAGAGAGAGACCAGAGAGAGACCAGAGACAGATCAGAGAGAGACAAGAGAGAGACCAGAGAGAGACCAGAGACAGATCAGAGAGAGACAAGAGAGAGACCAAAGAGAGACCAAAGAGAGAGAGACCAGAGAGAGAGTGCAAATAGATCAGAGAGAGAGAGAGAGAGAGACTAGAGAGACACCAGAGAGAGACCAGAGAGAGAGAAAGCAGAGAGGACTCGAGAGGACCATAAAGAGAGACCCGAGAAAGAGACCAGAGAGAGACAAGAGAGACACAAGAGAGCGAGAGACCAGAACAGAACTGTTTTTAACCTGGATTTGCACATTCCGCCACCTCCACCCTATAATTACAATGAAACCATAAATGATACATGTGAAGATGTGATGCAATGGGAGGATCAGACAGGTATGGCCTTGTTTTGAGACGTCTAAAATTAGCCGCTGGTTTCATCAGGCGTCTGTTTCAAGTCTGGCTTTTGTGGCTAAAGTGTGATCACAGTGAGAGACGTCAGGGAGACTTCAAACCTACTTAAAGGACTAGAAGGACTAACTGAGGAAGTGATTATTTTTAAGTTAAAAGTGGCCAAGCTGTGATCCAGAACTCCACGGAATCTTTTTGGTTAGTATTGTAGAACCAGCAGACTGTAATGCAATTCAGTTACATTTCTGACTCCAGTAAAGCTACAGCATAAGGACCAATGGCTCTATGTGTTTGTTATTATTGCGATTCCCGTTTGATTCTCTGATCTGTGTTGGCCAATCAACATATGTGGAAAAAGTTGTTTTAAATCATATTTCTTTTAACTAGCTTCCAGTTCATTTTAGTATTTTACTATTTGGTTCTAAATCTTTGAATGGACCGGCCAGTACATACAAGGAGCCTCAGACCTGATGCGTGAGGGCCGGCTCCAGCTTGGTGACTAGACTCCAAACCCAGGATGACAGTAGCTCTTTGATTTGAGTTTCTAGAGTTAATATATAGATTTTGCACAGCGCTTTTAAGAACGATCAAAGACGCTTCAAATCATTATCCAATCACTCCGAACACAGTGGTGATAAACTTCTACTGTAGCCAGTTAGGAAGGCATATGGCTACAATACGTGACAAAGACGGCCGCTTTTGGCCTGTGGGCCTGAGTTTGGACATGCTTGAGATCGTTAATTAATTGATAAATAAAATTGCATTTGTATTTGCGTGTTTGCAGCAGGTAATTTTCAAATTGACGGAAAAAAATGAAACAAATGAAACTGCTCCCTCTGGTGGTAGCATAGGTACAGGGCATAGCTATGACATTATTTACCTTTGATACCTGTTTCACCCTAGCCTGGTCGTACCACACCATAGTACAAATGACATTTCGTACTAAGATCTGGACGTGCTCCATTGAGCTCCGTGAACAGGTGGGAGGGGTTAACTCCTTTTGCAGATTGAAACAATTGGATCTAAGTTTACCGTGACGTATGTAGTGCGCCCATGGATCTATTATAATAACTGGATAGGGTATTACTAGCTTGTAGCTGAATAACCCATGTGCTCAGGGGATTCTCGCGGTACTGCAGACTGAACCAGACTAAATTCACGTGGGCTACCCAGAAATTTTCCCCATAGGACTCAATGCATATTAAAACAGCTCAACCTCAGCTGACAGAGAACCTACAGCTTTAATAAAGGTCGGATTTTGTGGGGATTTTAGTGTCCCTTGTCATCCTGAACTTTTTTTCTTCTTAAATCCGACGGCTTTGTTTAAATCCACACTTTAGTGCCACAAACTCTGCAAGTCTGGCTCTCGCTCTAACTCCCGCTCTGATGAACTGCTCTGATTGGTCAGAGCGCGGCCGAGCCCCTCGGTGCACGTGCGTGAGACCCGGTGTGAGACCCACACACGCGTGTTTGGCGCAACGCATTATGGGAGATCATCCACTGCGCAGAACCGGGAGGACCAGACGATGCCCAAATACAGGCGAGTTTCCCATAGATCTTTGCAAGTTCCAGGCGACTTCCGCTAATCTTTCAGCCCCCATGCCGTCACAAAGCGCCACTGAGCATGACCATTCATTTGAATAGGGCGCCATCTTGGATCGCCGGGGCTTGAGTGCGCCTGAGTCTGTTGTTAGCATTTAGCCTAGCCATCTCCTCTGCCGCTAACGGAGCCCGTGGGGAGTAGCGCCACAATCTTTGCCAGCGATTACATTTGCTAAACATTCCTCTTGCTCCGGCTTCAATTTCTTGATAGAACCAGACCGGATTACTTTACTATCGCATTTTTCGCCATTGCCAAACTACAACCTGCTTGTTCGACGCAAACTCTTGACATCACCCACAACTAACTACAACACCTGCCTTCCGCGCTCGCTGAATGGTCGGTCGAAATTCAACCGATTGTAATCGCCAACACAGGGACTAGACCCAGACGTTACATGCAGTGATTGAACGGAGTGTACGGATGGCTAAGGCCAGGCTAGTTTCACCCGTTTCCCGTTCTAAAATATGAAATCACAAATTCAAAAGTCAATTACAATTTTTAATGGTTCTGAGACTCACTTTGATTTTCTATCTTTTAACAATATACAAGTAATATATTTATTGTGTGAAGCAAAAATGATGGACAGGAAAAGGGTTGGATTATAATATTAGCAGAAACAAAGCAATAAAATGTAATATGGTAAAGTCAATCAATATACATAAAAATATATATATAACGGCCATTGATTGTAATTTCATGTTTGTTTTCTGTTCTGTGATGCATTTCCCCTGTAGGACAATACAGACTCTTATCTTTAAAACTCATTTCTGCAGAGCCTCCAGAGCTGAAGCTGTAGCAGTTTCAGTTCATATGCTAATGATATGCAAATGACATTGAAACCACCTCCATAACTGTGGTAAACCCCACAACAATCAGGTGCCTTCTGTCCCAAATTCAGCTTTAGCTTTTGGGCGGGAACATACCAGTGGCACTCATTTTTGACTGTTTGGTTGCTAGGCTGTTGCTACCTGCGTCATTTGGATCCAGATTCCCTCTCATGAAGCCTGAGTTTTTTCTAATCAATATCTAAAAGGGCCCCTTTAGAAATTGCATGTAGTTTGCGGCACGCAGGTTTGTCTGGCGCATTGACACATACACACACACACACACACAGACACACACACACAGACACACCTCTAGTATGACGGTGCAGATGAGCTTCACACACTGGATGATAGCGTCCTGGCTGCCGGAGATGGTCACCTCCCTCTCTGTGGAGTTCGGGAGGAGGTCCCCTGCCACCTGCACCTGGGCCCCTGTGGTCTGGACACAGTGAAGCACAGGAGGACAGATGTAACTTACACTGTGTCATTGTTGTGACACGAGGATGTGTGCAAATACTTATGAACCCCAGCAATATACAAATATATCATTAAAAAAATTATACAAAATGATTTACAGATTTGTCTCTAACAGTGGAAACACATCTATGATGAACATTTCAGACCTCTCCCAGTTTCTAAGTGGGAGAACTTGCAAAATTGCAGGGTGAGCAAATACTTGTGGGTAAAAAGTAACACAGAAGCAGTGTAATGCTTTGCATTTCAGAGACAGTAATAATGAAGTATACCACATTAACAAATCATTTATTACAATGCTGAAATGTTGCTTTCTCGTTTCAAGTAAGATGTAAAAAATTTGAGACAAATTCAATGAATGCATTGAATAAACATGTACAAAATATCTGTAATTCAAACCAAATGATTGTTTACAATTGTTTCTCAATTTGAATCAATCACTTGAGACAAACAAGACTAAAACAAACAAACAATACTTATTTACATCCATGTGATTGTCTACCCTTTGTACTCACCAGTATTGTACTGTATATAAGAACAACTAAGTGTTTTTGATGATTTCATGCAGTCACAGAAACAAGCATCTCATTTGACAACCCCTTTTACCAAAGCAGATTCAACACGGTGGTGCAGCACAGTTCCATACCTCTCTGATTTCTTTAATCTTGGATCCTCCTTTCCCGATCAGAGAGCCGCACTGACTGGCCGGGATGACTAACCGCAGAGTCACCGGAGGCTTGTTGGTCATCGTACCGTTGGCCACGAGAGCCGTCAGGTCCTGTCAGAGAAACACAGAAACACGCGTGAGAGGAGGCGCTGGGCCCGTCTCCCATCACTGTACTAACCAGGCCCTGCCCTTCTACAAGTGATCGTAATTCGTTAGCAACCACATCCAATCCAATCCAATCCACGTTATTTATACAACACATTTAATAAACGAGCAGGTTCTAAAGTGCTGTACAACAAGAAAAAATGGCAACAAATAAATAAATACAGACATATATAAAAATCAAATAAAAAAACACAGAGGACCATAGGACTCAAGCAGCTCTTAAGACGAGACTTAAAACATTCCAACGAGGGAGCTGTTTTGATGGCTGTGCATGTGGCCGGTAATTTTCAAATTTGTAATAAATAAATAAAAATCTAAACCTCCCTCTGGTGGTGGCCAGAGGGAAGGGCAGGCCGAGAGCATCACTCACCCTGGATGCTTTTTCACCATATTATTTTGAAGTGAAAATATTTCAGGTGTTTTAACACAGTTATAAATAATGTTAATCCTCAGATATGTGACTAGTGCAGAAGGAATGAAATGTAGTGAATGGTAAAACGGTCGATAGAGGACGGATGCAATTTCTAATTGTATATTAAAGTTTATTTCTTTATAACCAGGAACTAGAGATGGGAACTAGTATCTCGCTATACTCTGGTACAAAACAAATCTGTCTCTATAAACTTAATATCTCTGTATTAACTAACATCACATCCTAAAACATGAACTGACATGAAAGTAAATGGTCTCGTTATTGTTCTAATGGCCAAAAATAATGTGTAATAGTTCTTCTTTAAAATTGGTGCACCTCCCAGTCAAGCAGATAAAGTAAATAAAATGTATACAATTCTCAAAACAGTTAGGTTCTTTCACTATTCATGCATGTTTTAGCCTCTGTCACAGCTTTAGTTCAGGTTTTTCAGACTGAAGAGTAAATAGTGCAGTAGTAATTTCAAGAAATATTATGTACATTTTATACTTCTCGAGAGCCCAAGCAATTTCCTAGTTGGTGTCTTCCCATTACTTACACAGGCAATAACATAATATTCAGACGCTGACTAGAGCTGGGGTACCTAATAGTAAATAAAACATATGCAACTCGTTCTTTGCTCTCAAAACAGTGCAAAAGAGACGAGGAGCCTGGATTGGAATCAGTTTTGACCAATATGGAAGCTGCAGATGAATATTTTAAATTAAAGCTAGGGTACCTAACTAACGCATGGCCGTATACCTGCAGGTTATACACAGATCCCGTCAAACCTCTGAAGCTTGTATGCATGCTTTTCTTTGTCACATTTTTAGCTCAGGATTTTCAGATAACATAGTGAATAAGAGAGAATCGATTCATTTAGATATTTGCTTTGCATGCATTTCAGAAACTTCAGATTCAGATTCATTTTATTAGCCATGTGCAGTATATAAACTACGTAGGAATACATTCGCAAAAAAGATTCTCTGTGTGCACCGACAGAATAAAGAGCACGATACAATGTAATATAAAATACACATACACATACACTGAAAATAAATGAATAAAAAAACAGCTGACACTGTGGCACCGATCAACAAAAACACAAGGGGTAAAACTTGTGCTATTATGTCCAACCTTCTTCCATCCTCAGAGTCTTTCGATCCAGGTTTGTGTTTTTATTGGCACTGACCCACTCCCTCCTGTCCATCATGACCTCATTCAAACCCACAGCACACTTTATACCTGCTCCGGTCACTCGTCTCTGCCTCGCCACCTGCCACCAGACACCAGCCACTGTCCGCCTCCGTGACCTTGGCACGGAGGCCGTTTTTTTTACGGCGCGTCATAAAAAGCTTTTGGTTTAGTTTGAACAGTGAGTGATTGATGTGACTCTGTTTGCACAATTAGACGCTAAGAAAAGCACAGAACCATTCTTTATATCTGAGTGTAATGGGATCCTGAAGAAAAAACTGTATTATTGCATGTTTATCTGTTTTTCTAAAGCTTCTCTCCCTCTACTAATGGTAGAGATTTTATACTTGCTTGCTTGACAGAGGACAGAGGACAGAGGAGAGAGGAGCCGCTTGTCCTTCTGAGACTGTGACACATCTTCATCCCACAGAGCGTCACAGAGACGTCTGGAACACAAGCTTTTTTTCCCCCTTTTTCCATATTTTTTGCAGTAAAATGACGGACAGCAGAGGCCCACAGCACACAGCACTCACATGTGACGAGCAGCAGAGGAAAGAAATAATCTTCAGCTGTCAGTGGGGCTAAAATCCCTCTTCTGCATCTACATCTATTTAAGTGTGTGTGTGTGTGTGTGTACAGTATGTGCTTATTTTTGCTCCATACAGAAGCAGTGAAGAATTTATGTCACACATAAAGCAAGGAAGGTGGCAAACTTGCTTTTCCAAAAGTATACGCAAGCCATGGCTCCAGTTTCTCTTGCTCCTACGTAATTGTGCCATGTACCCCTGTTCATGTTGTTTCCTGTTTGTTGTTTTATTTTTCTAACCCAGAAGTACCTTCACATTAGTCCTTGTCACAGGTCTCTGCTTCCTATGGTTCAGAGAAAAGACTTTAAAGCAGCTCTGCTTGTTACAAGGCCTCACACCAAAATACACATGTGACCTATTAGTGCTATATGAACTAACTCCAAGGAGCACAGGGACTGGCCTCCTGCTGGTCCCAGAGTCAGGACTAAAAATGAGGAGGCAGCCTTTCAGATTTATGCAGCTAAAAGGTACTGTGATTATTTTATGAAGATCCATAGTGTTACATTTCCATAACATCTGCTCTGATTGCATACTGTGACCCTGGTCCTGCCCAGACCCTGATCTTTCATTACAGTTTAAAAGCCGTCTCCATGGGGCCCATCCTGCAGCTGTAAATACCCCCCAACCACCCAAAGGGCTTGGGGCTGGTGCTGTATATACTGGGTGCAGCTCTGACTGCCACCCCCCAATCCAGAGATAGATTAAGGGGAAGAAAAAGAATAGGCCGGATGGACCACCACCCCAAGGTGAGGGCTCCCAGGGGCCTCTAAATCATCCCTAATCATTGCTTAAGCATATGCACATTCTGACTACACATGTCCTGCATCTGTGCAATAATAACTTCTAATAATGAATCAGAATGTGCAATATAGAACCACATATGTCACTGTGCCCCAGAGCCTTTTATACTTTAGACTTCACCTCCTGTGGGGAGGCAGTATTTCAAATTTATGCAGCTAAAATCTAAAGCAGTCTCCCTAAAAATGTGAGACGGGCGTCGTCTCTGATAATGTTCAAATCAACAGTTCTGTTTGACTGTGCTACACCTGCGGGATTTTACCTTCATTCTTTTTAATGTTCTGTGATTCTTTCTGTGAATTGGGTGCAGCTCTGACTGCCACCCCCACGACCCAGAAATGGATGAAGTGGAAGAAGATGGATGGATGATTATTTATTTTAATGCCTTGTGTGATTCAGAAACACACGTATAAGTTCTAATGCTAATGAAAGTGAAAGAGGATTGAGTTTATAGAATATATTAAAGGATTCTGTACATGCAGAGGAAGTGTAAAGGGGCTGCAGTTTTTAATCTTAATCTCTCTCAGTAATATACATAAAACCATCTCGTTCTATCATCCAGGAATGTTGGAGATAATCTTTTAAAGCTGGGGAGTTCCTTGCCACGAGTTTTGGCCTGTCACATCAACCAGAGATCAACAACATGGATTATTTATGGGACAAAATCATCATCATGTATTGGATATTATGTTTATATTATATCAAATAGTGGTTCATTGGCCTCTCACTATTGCTCCATCCTCTGATTATAGACTAGAAAAATACTCCTGACAAGTGGACTTAGATAGCACTGTAGCCGTCAAGAATAAAAACACACATATGCAAATCCACAGCTTGACGGGCGGCACAGTGGCTGGGAGGATAGAACTCACGCCTCTCAGCAAGAAGATCCTGGGTTCGAATCCCGGTCAGAACAGGGTCTTTCTGAGTGGAGTTTGCATGTTCTCCCCGTGCTTGCGCAGGTTTCCTCCAGGTAGTCCAGTTTCCCCTACCACTAAAAACATGGTCACTAGGTTAAATCCTCCAGCTCCGGTAGTCCTGACCAAGCCGAGCATCAACATCTGGAGATGGGCGTTCCCTTGCGCTGTTACTACGGCGACCATTGCTCCTTCGCGGCATCAGGATGGGTCAAATGCAGAGGATGAATTGCCGTACGGGGATGAATGAAGTGCACCTTTATCTTACCTTGACGCGGTACCATTTCAATTGTCGAGAACAACCTGCAGTGTGTTTTTCTGATCAGGAAGTCACATGACCTGTGTTTACTGATCCTTTTATTCTGGTCTAAAGTAGAAGAATACTCCACATATAATTAGCTGGTTAGTTGAAGCTGGAGTAATAATAACAATAATAATAATAATAATGCATTGGTTTTATATACTTTCAAAGACGCACGATTATTCATTCACTCCAACACAGTGGTGATAAACTACTATTGTAGCCACAGCTGCCCTATGCCATCGGCCCATCCCATCACCACCATCATTCCCTGTGCTCCTCAGAGTCCCAGCAGGAGGCCAGTCCCTGTGCTCCTTAGAGTCCCAGTTGGTTCATATACAGTATATATCTATGTTCTAGTGTTGAATGTGTTGGTACCTCCTCCAGTTTGAAGGCGATCATGGTGAAGGCCCGGAACACACAGTCTGTGGGGCCTGTGATGGTGATGATCCTCTCGGGACAGGAGCCTTCGGAGATGTTGATCCGGGCACTGCTCTGGAGGGGGGAGACAGAAACACACAGAGGGAGAGGGGCGGGGGAGGGTAGAGGGGGGAGGAAGCAAATTAATTTAGGAGGGTCAAAAGAGTAAAGGAACAGGATGGAGGATTGATGGATGTGAGGAGGAGGGGGAGAGACAAGCGATGCAAGGTTTAGATGGAAGGGAACCAATGGGACACATTAGTCGGGGTGAGGCGGGGGGGGGGGGGAGAGAAGCTCAGAGGTGGAGCAAGAGAGACAGCTGTTTGGTGGAATGAAATACTCTATGATATTAAGATCCCCATTGTATAAACACTACAAAAAAAGATAAAATATGAAGTCTATTTCGAGACACTTAGTCTTATTTCGAGAACTGTTGCTTTATTTTTGCACTCCAAGGGAGACATTTCTTGTATCTTTTTAAAAAATGATCATTTTGCTTTGTCCCATTGGCAATTCTTGTTTTAAGGCAGTCAAATTCTGCTGATATATTTTGCCATATTTGAGTATTTTTTAACTTATTGTTCTTCCTTTTTGGAATGTAGCATTAGGCCGAGTTAAATTCTAAATCAGAAATGGGTCTATATTTTATTGCTTGGAAACTGCGAAAAGATTAAAGAAGATAATTGAATAAATTGATTATAAAAACAAATACAATTTTGTTGCCTTGATTGATATTGATAATTTACAACTAATTAAAACTGTATGAAGCGTTGATTGTTAAAAGCACAAAACTAATTTCTTGTTTCACAGAGGAATGCGTATGCGTTGTGTCATCGTTAATTTAGAAGTTTCATGTGAAATTATATTTTAGGCTTATTAGGCTTGTTTTTATTCTGAATTTGAATTGTCCTTTTCCTAGAATATAAATGAAACATACTCTATAAACCAGTAAATATATTTCGCTGTCACTCAAATGAACTGCACGTCGGCTTGGAAACTCGGGCCGAACTTTTTGCATGGATCTGGGGACCAATCACAGAACAGGAAGGAACTGACGGACGATGATGCACAAGAGAACATTCTGACAGTTATATTTTTTTTTCTACAAATATTACCAATTTGATTATTTCTGATGCAAATCTGTACGTATATACTATTTATGTATCTATGTGTTTTTGTTTGGTGTTTTGTTATTATTCTATATATGGTTAGTAATGGATTTCTCATTGAGCTTTTAAGTCTGTGTGTGTGTATGTGTGTGAGACCGAAGAAAGAACATACACCTTAACTAAATCCACAGCTGGAAGTATCTTGTCTTCAGATCCAGCAGATGGCAGCAGTCCAAAGTTAGGACTTACGCCGTTTGTGTTAGTCCTAACTGTGACTTACACAAACGACGTAACAATTTGGCACGTTGCGTTACATTGCGTTACTCCAGCATTCGTTATCGTGTTGAATGATAGGATTGGTTCATCTGTGCAGAAACATATGAGACTATTGTAGCGTCCAGCAAACATGAGACCAGCATAACCCACTCCTCTTCCCAGACTATAAATCCATGTCATATTTATCCAGGTCCTCATCAAAGGTCCTCATTAGTAATTGTGTTTGAATTATCATGAAACACAATTACTAAAATACTCTTTCGCAGCAGCTCGACTCTCGACTAAACTCTGCTCTAACTGGATGATCGGATTTCTAGTTTCTTCACTTCCATCTTCAGAACAGGTGTTGTTCCTCTATCTTTGACGTTAATGACTTTGACTTTGACTGTGATCCCAAAGTAAAGGAGTACTTTGTTTATCTGCAATTTTCCTTGTGAGGTTTCTCTTTTGAATAAAAACATGACGCTAAGACAGTAGCCTCTCTCTCTGATGTGTTTCAAGATCGTACAAACATGATACAAGAACAACTGTAACAAATACACCAAAAATGTAACTAGCAGTAACTATAGCATTAGCGTAGCATTTTTTTTAAGCTATACGTGGCATGCATATTTCTCCATCGTGAGATCAATAAAGTTTTCTTATCTCATCTCTATTTTTGTCCCACAGTGATGTCAGTGTTGTAGCGCAAGAAGAGAATTAAGATAAAACTAAAAACTTTAGTATGCTAAAGTTAGAGCTTTGATTTTGGTTCATTAACTGGTGATGCAACACTGACATTTCCCCACTGTGGGACGAAAAAAAGAATGTCTCTTCCGGCATTAGAAATGGAGGCTGCATTGTTGACCAAATAACGATTTTGAACGTTTAGATCTACATTACGTTGTTTTATCCGTACATTTAAATTGCCTGTCCACAGATCTGGCCTGGAACCGGCTCCTGCTTATCTATATTAACTTTAAAACCAGGATCTTTTGAACCTCCAGCCCAAAGGCTCCATCTGAACACCCACACACTCAATGAAGACTTCTCTGTTTGATGATTCAGGAGGATTATAAGATGAAAAAAGGGGAAAGGACAAGATGAGTAAGAGCCGGGATCGGTTTTTGTTATCAGGAAGAAGGGAGTGATAAGACAGACACAGAGGAGACGATCAGTGGAACCAGAAACACAAGTGTATCTGAAATATCTGAAAGAAGGCGACACACGGATGCACTTAGGTTAAAGAGGAGGGAGATGACCGATACTGAGGAGGATTTATAAAACGGCTGCATTCACACATGAAGCAGCACTTTCTGTGATACAACAACCATGGACCCAACTGAAACCAACACAACCGAACCAGATGTTATGGGAAAAAGCCAAGGTGAAGTTGTCATGGTGTGGATTTTTTTTTTTTTTTTTAAATGTACTGTTTTATTTTTGCATCAGTTCTGTGGTTTTGGTTTAAAGATTGACTTCCTGTTTCCCTGTCTTGATGGTCTGCCCCCCGCCCTAATGTGTCTCCTGTGTCAATATGTACCTGTGCTACTCTCCCCTTGTTGCTGGTCCATTGTCCTTGTCCACCTGTTTTCCTGGTTCCTAAGTCCTGTTTGGATTTTGAGTCTGTTTTTCCCTGGACATTTATTTTAATGTACAACAACCTGGATGAGTTTTCCGCTGCTGGAAACCTGAATCTCAACTACGGGGATCAATACATTATCTATATCTATCCATCTAATCAGCCAAATTATAATCAATATTTTTTTGCATTCTTGCTTCATCTCACCCCGTGTGACAGAAGGAACGAGACTCAATATTGTCAATGATAAAGCAACAACAATAATACATATAAATTTACATTTTCTATCACTGTTTCAATAATAAAAGCTGCTAACTTGGAATAGTTTCCTTATTCAGGTGCAATGCTCCCTCTCGCTCATGTTTCTCCTTTGTTTGACCCCGGGCATGTGCAATTCTGTTTGTGTTTCTGACTGCACCAGCACTTTGTCTGTGCATGTGCAATGTACTCCTTATTCTGTACTTCACCAGCACTTCAGTCAGTGAATGTACTTTGTTGCTCAGTGTGTAAATACAGTATTGATTGTCCTGGTGTTGACTGTGTTGTGTAGTGTGTTTGTGTCTTATAACGACTGTTGTGATTTTACAAAATACATGGAATTGAATTGAAAGACTCTGGTCCTGCTGCACTACGCTGTGACTTAGGACTTGTTTGTATTTTTCATTCTAAAACACGCTCTTGACTTCAACGGATCAACTTCTATGAACCAGCTCCCTCGTTTAAAGGATTCAAGTCTTGTCTTGAGACCTTTTTATTGTTTTATCTGCTGTTACTACGTCTATATAGTTGGTATTTCAGATTTTATTTAATTCTAATTGGTTTTATTTCATGAATTGTAATGTTGTATTCATTATGTTTTAAATACTTAAAAACTGCACAGCTATAAATGTGATGTTTCCTCGATCAATGTGTTAGCTTTAGCCGACATATCACAAGAGGCGTAAAGTAAATCAATAAGTGAGAAACAGCCACAGATTTGAAATGTTTCAGATGAAAACAAATTTGTCTTTGTTTAAATTTGTTCGTTATTCTCCAACAGGAGTCGACAGTTTCATGCAGAGGACGTGCAGTTCTCTCCTTAGTTTTGTTTGCACCTTTTTCAAAATAATTATACAATGTTTTCCTAACTTGATTTAATGTGAGTGTTGTATTGGTGTAGCTTTAACTTTCTATCCCCTTGACAGATGGAGACACATCTCTGAATCCTCTTCCATCTCCGTCTCTCTGTGGATCTGAATTCTTTCCTCTACAGACAAACATTTCCAACACAAACCAAACCCTGCGGACGCCGTTCTGGCATTATTCAACACTTTTCCCACTAACTTGAGTACATTTGGTCTCATTAAAACTCTTTGCTCCTTGTTTATTTGAGGAAAGCCACCTTGAGGAGTGTTGTGACCTATTTAGTATTCAAAGATGGGAATAAAACATGTGTTGCCACAAGTTTGAGTTTGTTCTCCTGGCGTTTGTCTCAGCTCACAGGAAGAGACTGGCGCTTTCACAGCTCTTTATTCAGATCCTCATTGGACAGAGATAATCTTTCAGAACCCACTGGGATTCAAACAGCTTAGGGCTCTGTCTCCTCATACAGAGATGCTCCTGTATTCACATCAGCTGCTGCATTTATAGGGCAGTTTCCATCGGCGCGACCCACTCTCCCTGGTTTGTGGGCGTCTCCATGAGCTCGCTTTAGCCGCTACCCGGTACTTTTTTAGTAACAGCTTGGCCCTGGTTCAAACTGGACCGAGTCAATAACGAAACAATCTGACATTGGGGAACGTCAATTGTGATTGGTCAAAGGTGCTGTCCATTGCTCTTCAGCTGGTGTGTCAGCTGCATAGACTTTAAATATTAACGGACGTAGTCACGCCTATCTCTGCCGTTGTGCTCTACTGGAGCGATCCAAAATTGCAGCGAGTGGTCCCACCCACAAGAAAATTGTGAAAAAACGCATCTGCGCCCCATTCTAAACTAAACTAGACTGGTCCAAAAAAATTCACCCCCCTCAGCATTGACACACATGTGGAACGGAGATTTGGGCCAAGAGCCAACTTTTGGACCATCCTGTAAAGACGTTTTCGAGAGGTAATTCTTATTCCGGGTCCACCCCCATCGGCCCGGGGTGGTATTGCAAGCATGTCAGTGCACGTCATTTTGGCCACTTTTGAGCCGGGACCCCCCCCCCCCCCCACTGGTCAGCTGTTGTGAAAAACATAAAATTATAATGTCGTTTGTACAGAAAACTGTTTCTCGGTCGCTGGATGCAGTCAACACCCTCCGCAGTTGAGCAGAGGACACCAGCGTTACCTCGATGGTGCCGCCCGAAACCAGGTGTTTGCAGAGGTTGCAGTGAGGATGGAGGAGAGTGGATAGCATCGAACATCATCACAGAGCGTGAATTTTTTTTAGAAGCTTTAAAGTGACTATCATGAAACAAAGATGGCAACAGCAGAAGTGGGTCGCACCGAAAAGCTTTGAGGTGGTTTGACATACGACCGATCATCAGCTAACACCAGCTAACACCAGCTAACACCAGCTAAACACCAGCTAACACCAGCTAAACACCAGCTAACACCAGCTAAACACCAGCTAACACCAGCTAACACCAGCTAAACACCAGCTAACACCAGCTAAACACCAGCTAACACCAGCTAACACCAGCTAACACCAGCTAAACACCAGCTAACACCAGCTAACACCAGCTAAACACCAGCTAACACCAGCTAAACACCAGCTAACACCAGCTAAACACCAGCTAACACCAGCTAACACCAGCTAAACACCAGCTAACACCAGCTAAACACCAGCTAACACCAGCTAACACCAGCTAACACCAGCTAAACACCAGCTAACACCAGCTAAACACCAGCTAACACCAGCTAACACCAGCTAAACACCAGCTAAACACCAGCTAACACCAGCTAAACACCAGCTAACACCAGCTAACACCAGCTAAACACCAGCTAAACACCAGCTAACACCAGCTAAACACCAGCTAACACCAGCTAAACACCAGCTAACACCAGCTAAACACCAGCTAACACCAGCTAAACACCAGCTAAACACCAGCTAAACACCAGCTAACACCAGCTAACACCAGCTAACACCAGCTAACACCAGCTAACACCAGCTAACACCAGCTAACACCAGCTAAACACCAGCTAACACCAGCTAACACCAGCTAACACCAGCTAAACACCAGCTAACACCAGCTAACACCAGCTAACACCAGCTAACACCAGCTAACACCAGCTAACACCAGCTAACACAGCTAACACCAGCTAAACACCAGCTAACACCAGCTAAACACCAGCTAACACCAGCTAAACACCAGCTAACACCAGCTAACACCAGCTAAACACCAGCTAACACCAGCTAAACACCAGCTAACACCAGCTAAACACCAGCTAACACCAGCTAAACACCAGCTAAACACCAGCTAACACCAGCTAAACACCAGCTAACACCAGCTAACACCAGCTAACACCAGCTAACACCAGCTAAACACCAGCTAACACCAGCTAACACCAGCTAAACACCAGCTAACACCAGCTAACACCAGCTAACACCAGCTAAACACCAGCTAACACCAGCTAACACCAGCTAAACACCAGCTAACACCAGCTAACACCAGCTAAACACCAGCTAACACCTGCTAATACCAGATAACACCAGCTAACACCAGCTAACACCTGCTAATACCAGATAACACCAGCTAACACCAGCTAACACCTGCTAATACCAGATAACACCAGCTAACACCAGCTAACACCAGCTAACACCAGCTAACACCAGCTAACACCAGCTAACACCAGCTAAACACCAGCTAACACCTGCTAATACCAGATAACACCAGCTAACACCAGCTAACACCTGCTAATACCAGATAACACCAGCTAACACCAGCTAACACCTGCTAATACCAGATAACACCTGCTAACACAAGAGAACACTAGCTAAACACCAGGAGAGATGCCTCGACTCCGCCTTGTCCCACCTCCAGATGTAGAGTCTGTGTGTGTGGTCGAAAATCTAAAAACAGCTAAAGCAGAGGTTAGTTGATCTAGAAAGCATCCCCCCTGTTAATAATGAACACAGGGCCGATGGAAGCGCTGTCAAGCCGAGTCGTGTCGAGTAGAGCCGAGTCAAGCCGGTGGAAACAGAGCATATGTTACTGCACCTGATGTTTATGCAACATCTGGAATCTATATGTGAGCAAAATGTGTCCACTGTCACTGACCTGTGCAATTGTAGCAAAGTGATCTTTCTCCAAACTTTACAGTGTATTTCATTTTATTTTATTATGAAGTGTCACATGAATCACATTGTTATTTATGTATTAATTGATACTGTGTGCACACATGTCACAGGATACAACATATACTCAGTTTAAAAGGAACGAAGCAGTAGTTGAAATTATACTTAATCCTTATCCAGCCACAACAGATACTGAATATTTTAACTGCTGTTGTGATTTAGGGTGATCTGCTACTTTTATATACATCCACTTCCTCTCACACAACCTCTGCATAGAAGAGAGGAGAACGACGAGGACACAGATTCCTCTGGGAAGCTTCGCACCGGGAGAGTGACAGCAAAGACAGCAAAGACTTTGAACCACACAGAGAGTGGAGAGAGTGACGGTAACAGCCTCATTTAACTGACATATGGAAAGAGACAAATAATACAGTTATTGTAAATATAGTGGAGACTGATTATCTGTGTGTATGTGCTGTTAGAACTGGTTCCATAATAGCTCTGCCTTTTGATTTGGTCCTAATTATCGGGTCCGATGGCCGGGCGTCAGATGCCCTGGGTTATGGTACAGTAGATTAGTGAGACATGCAGGAAGTGACAGACACAGGGACAGACGAGAGAGAAACATACCTCTTCTCGTATTCTCTTCACAGTTTCTCCTTTCTGCAGAGACAGAAGAGAAAAATGGTGGAGTTTGTAGAGAGACATGAGCAAAAACAACATCCGGGTACTTCAAAATTTATGCAGCATGATCGTTTTTAGTGGGTCCTAAAGAGTCAAAAAGTGAGGATTGAATTGAATAATTTCCTTTATTCTTGAATATTGTAATTTTAAATCTTCTTGTGTTGATATGTCCAGCAGTTGATGTATTTGGAAGGAAAACAACGTATAAATATAACCAAACACTATTCACTTTAAATGTGTGGGACCTGGTGTTTATACGTACATACAGGGGGAGACCTTCTACAGTCTCCTTATCGTCAATTGGGCCCAGGTCTGGTACAGTAGCCTGGCCTCTCAGCTTGATGTGTATTAAAATGTAGTAAGAAACCCCAGCTTTAACACTGTCTCCCTAAATGTGATCAGATAAATACCTATGTACCATATTGTATTGTGCCCTTTATATAATAAGAGTTACTGTGTGTATAGCGGCCTCATCTCTCGGCTCGGTGACCTGTCAGAGGAGGATGAGGGTCTATACAACGTACAGAGACTTCACACAGCAGCAGATGCGTGACTTTAACGTGGTCCTGATGTGGCAGCTCTCCAGCCGCTCTGAGAAAGGAAACATTTCTAAATATACACTGAAGGAAATCAGTGATAATCATGGGTTAGCTGCTGCTAGCTGCCGCGCGGCGAGGCTAACGGTCATTATCGCACTGGAGCTCTGATATATTTGGAACAGCGCTGCCAGGGTTTATTTTACATGTCAGAGAGAAACGGGAGGGCGCCGAGGATCTTTTTTTGTAGGATGTTGGGCCTGAAGGAAACTTTTGCAGATGTTATGGTGAGTGTCGCACAAATGGATTATCCTCAACACAATCTTGTTTATTCGCGTATTAAGGAACTGCAGATTTATAAAGAGATACAGCTAGATCAATAGGCTGCGTTCATGTGACATCACAATCTCCCAAAGAGCCTGCAGTGAAGCCGGAAGCCGAACTCGATTCATTTTTAGAACAATATATTTGAGTGTTAGCTACTTCTGTTAAAATGTAACTAATTGTGTGTTCGCTGATCTTTTGCATCTGTGGATATGCTTTTTTATTCAACCTTTTACAATATTCAATGTACTTTGAGGATTGAGGGTTTAAGGTTTAAGGTTTATTTCCTTAAATATGGATTATATGTTTTAGTTTTTTTTATATTTAAATCCCTGCATGGATTGAACCAAAGCTGGACTGAAACTGATGAAGGCAGATTAAAGTTTATGATGAGGTATAACGTGCCATTGAAGCTCTCATGCAAACCTTTATTTGATTGTCATTTAAATAGGAGGAGACAGTGTGAAGTCTGAGAATGGGAAAAGATCTGAGGGCCACAGAGAAACGTGAATTGGGCCACATGTAGTTCGCGGGCCACACTTTGCCCAGGTCTGCTAACTCTTCCTGGTAACCATGGGTGACCGTCAACAGTTCCTGGTTAATCCACATAGAACAAAAACCATATTTCCAACAAAGACATGTTCTTTGTCTTTGTTGGAAATAAAATTCTCAAACATGAGCAGATCCTACTGACACAGGCTGTAGACGTCATTCAATAATCATGCTATGAAATATTAATGTGGAATGATACTCACTTTGCCGATAATGCTTCCTACTTCCTGTAAGAGACGAAACACAATCCGTCAGTCACTTTGGCAATAAGACACTACAAATAACTGTAGATATTTGAGGTTTGCTAAAGATTTGTTGGACATATAAACAAAACCATCGCAAAACATTTCTTAGTTACATATCGAAGGTGTTATTGGGTATTATTGAAACCTTTTAAAAGATTTGGGGACAAAAATAAACACATAAAACACCAGAGAGTTTTAGGCTTCGCTGCTCTAAGGGCGGTTGCCACTAAAATGAATGTTCACGCATAAGTAACGGACAACTGTGAAGTGAAAGTAAAATGATACAGGATTCTGTTATTTTTCAAAAGATGGAAAAGTGCAAACGTGTCAAACAAGATTTCTTATGGTTCCTTTCAATAATGTCTTTTGGCACTAGTCCATAAAGGCCCTATTTGTGTAGAGTATGACAGATGACAGTTGTCCTATTGTTGTATTTACGACTCCCCGAGCTCAGCAGTAGTACTTCCAGAATCATCTTGAGGACTTGGTTGCCTGTCTGACCAGTGCTCTCCTTGTTCCATCCATAGTGTCGCTGGACGGCCGTGTCTTGGTAAGTTTGCAGTGGTGCCATACTCTCATTTCTAAATAATGGATTGCTTCGAACAGTGCTGTGCGAGATGTTCAAGTCTGGGGAAATCTTGGGATACCTTAACACCACTTTAAACTTCTCCACAACATTATCTCTGACCTCTCCGGTGTCTCCTAGGCCTTTATCCCTGACCTCCAACCTCTCTGGTGTGCTTTTTGGCCTCATGATGTTGTTAAGTGACCAAGGCAAGACAATGTACCTTCTTTTGTCGCACCATAAAAGTAATTTCCTAATGTGAAAATGATGTCCCAGCAGCAGTTGTTGTTTGGTTGTGTTATAAAGTAAATGTGTTCCATGTGTGCAGTAGCGACCTCCGTACCTTTCCGTGCATCAGGAGCCGGAGTGTCAGCGTCACTCCCATGGCCCCGTCCCCAAACTCCTGCTCACAGCTCATGGTGGAGGAGGAGGAGGAGGAGGTGTGGTGGTGGTGGTGGGTGGAGGTGTGGTGGTGGGTGGAGTCTGTCGCTGGGAGACGCATGAAGGTCTGAGGCCCCGCGGCGACCGGAGCTGAGCTGCGAGAAGCCACTGACTCTGCAGAAGTGTCCCAGGAGCAGAGGGGTCAGGGGTCACGGCTGTCCTGGATGGAAGACGGACAGAGAAGGTTAGATTCAGATTCAGTTTTTTTGCCATCTGCAGTAAATTGGATTACGTGTGCAAGAGTCCCCAGTGTGCACCGGACGTGTACAGGAATAAAACAGGGTGAAAAGTACAGAAACAATCATCACTGTGAAATTCATCAATGACAACAGCTTCGATACAAGTGCAAGATTATCAAAAAGACAAGAGAGACAAGAGAGAGAGAGAAAGACACACACACCCAAAGTGAGTGTGACCAGAAAGAGAGACCAGAGAGAGAGACAGAGAGAGACTAGAGAGAGAGACACATACGCACACCACACACACACACATAAGAGAGACCAGAGAGAGAGACCAGCAAAAGAGACCAGAGAGAGAGAGACCAGAGAGAGAGAGAGACCATAGAGAGAGAGACCAGCAAGAGAGACCAGAGAGAGAGAGAGAGACCAGAGAGAGACCAGAAGGAGAGAACAGAGAAAAAACAGTAAGAGACACACACACACACAAAGAGAGCAACCAGAAAGAGAGACCAGAGAGAGAGACCAGAGAGAGAGACCAGAGAGAGAGACCAGAGAGAGAGACCAGCAAAAGAGACCAGAGAGAGAGAGACCAGAGAGAGAGAGAGACCATAGAGAGAGAGACCAGCAAGAGAGACCAGAGAGAGAGAGAGAGACCAGAGAGAGACCAGAGAGAGAGACCAGAGAGAGACCAGAAGGAGAGAACAGAGAAAAAACAGTAAGAGACACACACACACACAAAGAGAGCGACCAGAAAGAGAGACCAGAGAGAGAGACCAGAGAGAGAGACCAGAGAGAGAGACCAGAGAGAGAGACCAGAGAGAGACCAGAGAGAGACAAGAGAGAGACCAGAGAGAGAGACCAGAGAGAGACCAGGGAGAGACCAGAGAGAGGTCAGAGAGAGACCAGAGAGACACCAGAGACAGAGAAAGATCATGAAAGTGCTTTGAAAAAAACAACAACAACAAATCAGTGAAATCTCTGACACCCAGGTCTCAATGTTGATAAATCAGTTGTTTCTTAATATTACTTCTTCCCTCCTGGTCACTATGGACTCGCCTCACACATGTATTGATAAATCCTGTGTCTGAATTGAATCAATACCAAACGTCCTTCTCTTTCCTGGGAGAGATGATTGTATGTGTTTAACGAACGTTAAACTGTTAACATTCTCCAGAAGCTTCTTATAAATCGAATCACAGTGGGACAAAACGGCCCACGGAGACGCAGAGAAGAAGCCGCTCGCCTGAGAACTTGCTTCAGCAGCTAAAATAAATACAGTGCCAGCTTTATATATTGCTGCAAATATTGTTTTACTGTTTCTCTCAACAACAGTGGGACAACACATACGTATATACAGTACAGTATAGGCTCTAAAAAACTATTCTCAAGTAAAAATATTCAATGTTCTGTACCAACCACTTATAAACATGTGCCAAAGTCTCCCGGCTTTGTTACGCTAAAGTTAGATATTTTACCCTTGCTGTTTTATTATGTTAAAGTTACATACAGTGCCTTGCGAAAGTATTCGGTCCCCTTGAACCTTTCAACATTTTGCCACATTTCAGGCTTCAAACATAAAGATAAAAAAATCTATTTTTTGTCAAGAATCAACAACAAGTGGGACACAATCGTGAAGTGGAACGAAATACAGGATCTCTTCAAGATGAAGAGATCCTGTATTTGTCCCACAGTGGGGAAATAATAAAAGAACAAAAACTCAACACTATACTTAACATAAAATCTCTGTAATTAACTCTAATATAATAAAGAAGCAAGCATAAAATGTCTAACTTTAACATAATAAATGTGAAAGTATAATATCCTGTATATTCTACGGCAGAGATATATTATCACTTGTCTATAATTGACCTTTAAAATCCATATTGCTGTGTGTGACCTAGTTAAAAAATATATATATATTGAAAAAGGATGACAGGAAGCTTATGGCAAAGGTATTTTTCATGGTTTCAGATTTTGAAAGAATAAGAAATAAAAATCTGGAGCTGACATCAACATTGGAAAGAGATTTGTGGTCCCTAGCTGCTTTGACGAACACCTGAGATCAGTGATAAAACATGGATGCCTGTGATGTCACATGTGTGTTGGTGAGTGTTGGTATATTTCCAATGCCTGTGATGTCACATGTGTGTGAGTGTTGGTACATGTCCAATGCCTGTGATGTCACATATTGGTGAGTGTTGGTACATTTCCATCGCAGCACTAGCTTCTGCATCACTTCCTCGTTCTCCTCCTCCCAGCTCATAAAAAATACACATTGGAACCAAAGTAGGTCACAAATGCGATGCAGGCTGTCTGGCACGCAACTCCGGAGGAATCATCACAACACAGCAAAAAAACACACACAGGAAAACTGCTCCAACACTGCGACTATAGGCAAGGCAAGGTTATTTGTTTAGCACACTTGATACACAAGGAAACAGTGCTGAACAAAACAAGACAAAACAAAACAATCACACAAGGCATTGAAATCATAAATAATCACTGTACATTTAAAAGAATAAAGATACAATCCCTCAGTTGTAGCACAGCGAAAAAAACTGTTTAAAACCTGTCCCACATTTTCAGGAAGACTGTTCCAGATTATAGCTGCATGAATCTGAATCACTGCCTCCCCATATTTAGTCCTGACGCCATGGATCTAAAATAATAACTGGATAGGGTACAGGGGGCGCTCGTGGTACTGCAAACTAAATTTACTCGGGCTACCCAGAAAAAAGTCCCATAGAACTTTAAATTAAAACAGCTCGACCTCAGCTGACAGAGAACCTACAGCTTTCAGAAATATCGAATTTTGTGGGGATTATAGTGTCCCTTGTCGTCCTGAACTTTTTTTCTTCTTACATCCTTCGGTTTTCTTTAAATCCGCACTTTACTGCCACAAACTCACACACACGTATTTGGCGCAACGCATCATGGGAGCTCGTCCAATGCGCAGAACCGGGAGGACTAGACGATGCCCAAATATAGGCGAGTTCAGCTAATCTCCTGGTCCCCCTATGCGCTACTGAGCACAAGCCATTCATTTGAATAGGGCGCCATCTTGGATCACCGGGGCTTGCTCTACGCACACAATGACAAAACCAAACACACACAGACACACACACAGACACACACACACACACACACACACACACACACACACACACACACACACACACACACACACACACACACACACTAGAGCTGTCACATTTACCACTTTTCTAATTCATCACATCTAACATATGCCTCTGATTGGCTCTTGCGCAACGAGGAGACCATGCATGTAGGTGGCTAGACTAATGGCAAAGAGCAAACACACATTCACACAAACAAAACTCATCGAGGCCATCAGAAAAATCAACCTCATTTTTAGTTATCGCGCATTAAAGAGGAGACAACCAAAACAACTACTGTAGTACACCAAGAGCAGCACGTTTATGTGAATAGAGAAACATGTGTTTATGTGAATAGAGAAACATGTGTTTATGTGAATAGAGAAACATGTGTTTATGTGAATAGAGAAACATGTGTTTATGTGAATAGAGAAACATGTGTTTATGTGAATAGAGAAACATGTGTTTATGTGAATAGAGAAACATGTGTTTATGTGAATAGAGAAACCATACAGTGAAAGCGCGCCTGACTCAGATACTGAAAAAAGAGTGAAGTTAGATGTTGCTCACAGATATTGGGCCTCATTCACGAATAACTACGTAAGAAACTACTCAACTTTCTTCTCAAGTTGTCCTTAAGTAGATTTCTAAGAAGTCCCCACGTGGGATTCATCAACGCACCCGTAAGCCGCTGAATTGTTCGCAGCTGTTCTCTCAGATTGATGAATCCCATTTCCTCGTAAGTACAGCGCGCGTGCCAGGTGCTTCATTAGCATAGGTACTTAGCATAAGTAACCGCCCACTAATGCCCATATAAGGGACTGCAGGGCCGTGTGCAGACGGCAGAGGAAACAGCAACAGGCCTAAAGCAACTAGTTACACTTCTTTTACCAGACTGAGAATAAAGTTATAAAATGTTGACTTAAAAGTCGAAATATTATGATAATAAAGTCGAACTAGCAAAATTATGAGATTAATCTAAGAATATGATGAGATTAATCTCAAAATGTTATGAGCTTAATTTAAAAATATATTATGTATTATTTTAAAGATGAATCTCAAAATGTTTTGAGATTAATCTCAAAATATTTTGGACCCTGGGAGGAGATCCAGCGCGGACCAGCGCTGAGACCAATGCAGACCCGAGGAGAGACTGGAGTGACCAGCACACAGAAACCAGCGCGGACCTATAGGAGAGACCGCATAGACTGGAGACACCTGACTGGAGAGACCGGTGCGCAGAGACCAGCGCGGACCGAAGATAGACCGCATAGACCAGACTTGAGAGACCAGCGCGGACCCGTATGGAGAGCATGCAGCACGGACCCGTATGGAGAGAGACCAGTGCAGAGCCGTATATGGGAGAGACCAGTGCAGACCAGTATAGATCCATGGGAGAGACCAGTGCAGACCCGTATAGATCCATGGGAGAGACCAGCGCAGAGACTCAGCGCGGACCCAGTAACCTCCTGCAGCAGCAGTATATATGCCGGTGTTCTGTGGCCCGTGGATAAAGAAATGCCCCCTATAAATAGGAAGGGGTCACTAATACACGGCAAGATTTCCAATGTATTTGATAAAGCGTTGGCACATTTCATTTCAAAATGAATTAAAAAGTAGGCCAGATCTGCAGTGAAAAAGGCGGTATATAAATAAAGATTACTAATAAAGATTACTACAAATAAATAAATACATACATCGATATGACGGACATATCACTGGAATGTTGTATTTTTATTCAACTTCACCAAAGAGGACAACCCCGG